TGTAAGTATTAACTGGAAAAGTGTATATAGGAACTTGGGCGATTACTGCGGCGAAGAAATAACTAAGTAACGTTAAGGTTTTGATCAAATTCATTTTGTATGACTTTCTTTTTTCTTTCTTTTTCTTTCTTTTTATTTATTTTTATTTTTATCTTTATTTTTTATCTTTTTTTACTAATTTTCATAGCATATTTATAATAGATGTGGAGAATTCAAAAACTGCGCGAAGGTTTACAGAACATTCCAAAAAACTTTTTTGTATACGCCCAATAATCTGAAAATTATTATATCATTCAAAACTAAAAAATTTCTTTTTTTTACCTGTCATTTTGTTCATTTGTAACGTTATACATTATTACATGGAAAGAAAATCAACTTCTTATTCTTCCTTTTAGGGGTAGATTAAATCTCGCATATTTTAGGACAACGAATCATTTCATTATTTTATTAAACCAACCATAATCAACAGTGGCGTATGTGATTTTTTTAAACATTTATTATTCGAATTTATTCGGGAAATCGTTTTTAATTCCTCTTGTAACAAATTAATCATAACACGTTTCAAAAACCTTACCTAAATTAAAATCTTTTCAAATCGTGCATTTGATTGTTACAAACAATAGTAAAAGGGTTAGGGTGAAAATCTTCACTTTTAAAAATTACTAATTTATTTATTTGTTTTAATGACAATTATATTCAGCATCGAACACAGAATTTTTTTTTTCAAATCGTATAAATTCTATACATTGGACACGAATTTCGAGATGTCGTAATTAAATTCCTTTGTAACTTCCCATTGAGGGAGATGTCCACATTCTTCGTAAATAATTTTGTTTTCACGTTTAGCGAGACCTGCGTAATATAAACTATAATTAAGCGGTACATTACGATCTTGTGCGCCAATGATATTTAAGGTTGGAATGTTTAGGTTACTAAAGAAATTACTTAAATCAACTGTTGGATCTAATTAATAAGAAGGAAAAGAGAAAAAATAATTATTTTTTGCGTTTCTTAAATTAGTTCAAGTTCATATGATATGATATTAAACATATCCGACATATGATTAAAATGTTGAACTTTACCAAAAATGCTAGTTTTGCGATATCCGTTAGAAACTAGAACGGTGGTGCCGAGCATAAAAGATTTGAGTTCATCAGAAAGAGGTTTAGCGGAAATATTCTCAAAAATTGTAGTAAATACGGAAACAATTGTTGCGAAATCATCACTATTCATCAATGTAGTTGTAATACTCGCGAATTCTTTTGACGGCTCGAATTTGAAATTAACGAGTCCTCCAACCGAAATAAATCCATTTACTTCAATATCAGGATAATTTTGCATAAATGTGAGAGTAATTAGTGACCCATAAGACCAGCCAACCAAGACGATCTTCTTGTTCGATTTATTCGATTTAACTTTAGCTACTACGGCTGCAAGGTCATCACTGTGTAATTTGAGAGAGTATTCGTTTGGTTTACCGCTTTTGCCAAGCCCTCGGCAATCCCACCTAACGAGATGAAATTTCTTGCTAAGGGATGAATCAGTCCATTGTGGCTCCCAGCTATTATGCGTTCCAAAATACCCACTTGTGAACACGATTGTAGTCATCTCAGGATTCCCTTTTTCTTCTACAAAAAGTTGTACTCCATTTCCACCGCTAACATAATAATTGTAAGTATTAACTGGAAAAGTGTATATAGGAACTTGGGCGATTACTGCGGCAAAGAAATAACTAAATAACGTTAAGATTGTGATCAAATTCATTTTTGTTATAACTTTCTTTTTCTTATTTTTTTTTTATATTTTTTTTTATTTTCTTGTCTTTTTTACTAAATTACATAGCATATTTATAATGAATGTGGAGAATTCAAAACCTGCGCGAAGAATTACAGAACATTCCAAAAAACTTGTTTGTATACACCAATTATTATATACTTCAAATCATTTTTTTGTGGAAAGAAAAGAAAATCAACTTCTTCCTTTTAGGGGTAGATTAAATCTCGCATATTTTAGGACAATGAATCAATCAATTCATTATAATCAGCTTATTTTATTATTGAAAAATCAAACCAACCATAATCACCAGTACGTATATGTGATTTTTTTTTTAATCACGAGTTTCACAACATCTATTATTCGAATTTATTCGGGAAATCGACTTCTTTTTAAAATAGATCTTTTTAAATCAACGTGCATTTAGTTGTTACAAAAATGGTAAAAGGACAGGGTAAAAATCTTCACTTTAAGAAAATTTAAAAATTACTAATTTATTTATTTGTTTTTATGACAATTATATTCACAGAGAATTTTTTTTCAAATCGTATATATTCTATACTTTGGACACGAATTTCGAGATGTCCCAATTAAACGTCTTTGCAACTTCCCACGCCAGGGAGTGTCCACAATCGTAAACAATTTTTCCTCTATATTTAGAGAGACTTGCGTAACAACTATCGTTCAGCGGTATAATACGATCTTGTACTTTAAGGTTGGAATGTTTAGGTTTACTAAAGAAATTACTTAAATCTAAGAGAAAAAAAAAAATTATTTTTTATTTATGTTTTCCTTAATTATTTCGAGTTCATATGATACTAAACATTATCCAACATATGATTAAAATGTTGAACTTTACCAATTACACTATTTTTGCGATATTCGTTAGAAACAAGAACAGTTTGGCCGAGCATAAAAGATGAGAGTTCATCAGAAAGAGGTTTAGTGGAGCGATAGTCAGTAAATTTTGTATATGCGTCAACTATTGTTGAGAAACCATCGAAACTGTTCAATGTAGTTGTAATATCTGTGAATTCTTTTGTTGTTTCAAAATTAAATTAACGATTCCCGCAACCGAAATAAATCCATGTATTTCAATATCAGGTCAATTTTGCATAAATGTAAAAGAAATTGGTGACCCATAAGACCAGCCAACCAAGAAGATCTTCTTGTTCGATTTATTCGGTTTAACTTTAGCTACTACGGCTGCAAGGTCATTACCATGTAATTTGAGAGATCCGTTTAGTTTACCGCTTCTGCTGAGCCCTCGGCAATCCCACCTAACGAGATGAAATTTCTTGTTGAGGTATGAATCAGTCCATTGTGGTCCCAGCTATTATGCGTTCCTAAATACCCATTTGTGAATACGATTGTAGTCATCTCAGGATTCCCTTTTTCTTCTACATAGAGTTGAACTCCATTCCCACCACTAACATAATAATTGTAAGTTTTAACTGGAAAAGTGTATATAGGAACTTGGGCGATTACTGCGACGAAGAAATATCTAAGTAATGTTAAGGATGTGATCAAATTCATTTTGTAAGAATTCTTTTTATTTACTAAGTTTCTATAGCAATTTTATAACTAGGAAACAGAAACCGTTATGAGTCCGAAACGAATAATTTTCTTTTTTAAAATATGTAATCATTAATACTTTCTTTTATTTAAAAAAAATATATAAATAATTTTTAATTTTTTATGTGACAAAATAAATCTTTTTTTTGTTATTGTACAAAATTGTTTATCGGGAGCAATTATGAGAAATTATATTGTACTAATTATCCAACTATTATATTTTGCTAATCACTTCATCAGCTTTCTTCTGGAGAGAATATATCCAAAACTTTCATATTTTGTTTTGAAAAAATCATGCGATGAAGTAAATTTGGATCATGGAATGTACAGTGGGGTATCAAAAGTCACCGGGCATTTGCGATGTCGATTATTTTTTGAAAAATTATATCGAATTTTTAAATTGAGATAACTTACGAACTATCGCATCAATTTGAATGAAATTTTTT